GTTGGGATCGAGATCTGATTTGTTTTCTCCTCACGCTTGGGGCAGGCACAATTTCTAATCCAATCCGATACTTGTCGGATTGGCGCGCTTTTTTTTCTTGACGTGGTTGGCGCTATTTTTTTTTTTTTTTTTTGCGGGGGCGCTATTTCTAATCCAATCGACAAATCAAAGGATGTGAGAGCAACTCCGGGCATAACGCACCGACCAAAACGGCCGCGCGTCCGTTTGTCGTTCGCCTGCCGATTTATTTCCGGCTTTTTTTGTGTGCTGACATGTGTGCTGACCGCTGGCGAATGCGCCAATATACTGTGTGGTGATATGTTTTGAAGCCGGTATTGTATGCCGGCGCTGGCATGGTGCCGGCATGAGACATGGCTGGCCGCATGATCTATGGCCGCGGGCCTTTTTTAAAAATTAAGTGCGGACATGAAATGGATCGGGGCGTTGAGCGCACTGCCGACCCAAATCTAAAATAGGACGGATGCCGAGCGGGCGGGCGACCCAAACAGACAAAAAGGACAAATGTGTCGTCTATTTGGATCGGCCTGTTTGAGTTGCTCTGATTAGCGGGAAAAGGACCAATGGATGTGCTAGAAGACTCGTTTGACTCTTCTCCACTTTCACGTGTTCATGTTTAGTTGGTTTTGTTGGAATGTCCAAAAAAGTTGGTTTTGTTGGAGTTTCTTTTTGATGTATCTCACTACTGGGTTACTTCTACTCTACTCTAGAGCCTGAGAGCATCTACAGCCGAACACCCCAACCACGCGTTAAATGTCTGGGCGAACGATCCGGTCATTAACCAGTCAAAAAAGACCTACTCGGGCGTCTCAAACTGCCCTTAAATCATCAAGTTGTTCGGAGCCCTCATATTGAGCCCAAATGTAGGACCGATATGGGAGACCCACGCGCGTCCGCCACGTCAGCCCGGTCCACCCGACCCCTCTCCGTCCCCAATAAACCCACCAATCCGAAAACCCTAACTCAGTTCACTCCGCTCTCACTCTGTCTCTTCTTCTCGCCTTACTCCGATTTTGATCCACTCAAATGACTCTAACGACCATGTCGAGTGCCGACAGCCGCTCCGACTCCGACCTCGATGTCAAGGAGCTGGCCCTCCGCATTGCCCTCGAAAGGTCCAACGTGGACACTGGGGGCAGTTTCGGATCTGCCACCTCGCATCTTCCCCACCAGCGCAGCGCGGATGCCAGAGTTGGCCCCTTCGACCCACATGCAGCTCCGCGAGGGTTGCACAGTCCGCGCCACTCCCACGCTGTCACCTGCCCCTGCTTGTGCCCTACCCATAGGCCCGGACGCGCACGCCGGAATTCGAGGCATGCGCCGCTTGCCGTGAGTGGCAGCAGGCAAGGGAGAGGGACGCGGCAGAGCAATCGGTGCGCCACAACCACATGTTGTCGTCGAAGCCCGATGAGGACGGGCGTTTCCTCGCTTGGGTCTCCTGTCGGTCTCTTACAACGGCGGAGGCGGACGCTCGGGACTATGCCGGAAGAACGCCAAGGCGCTCCGGCTTGCCATTGAGCAGTAGGAGCGCGAGGTGACAGTGGCGGCTCGGCTCGCGAAGCTCAAGCGGTAACAGGAGAGGGGCTGTCCGGCGGCTCAAAGTGCTCATCGTCCTCTTCGACTCCTCCTCCGATGACAGCGACGACTACGGCGCCTCATCTGAACACTCGGATGATCCTCCACCAGCCGCCGACGCCTATAACTGCGCCGTCGACCAAAAGAGGAAAGGGTCAATGAGGAAGTGGTGAAGATCCACCTTCCGCGCTTTAATTTTAAGTTTTTAGATGTAGTTTAAACTTGTCCGTCATTTATGTGCATTATGTGAATTTTGGCAATCTTTTTAAGATCTGTTGGTGATCTTTTGGTGAATGGATTGTGCATTTCTATGTACGATCGTACGTCTGTTGGATGGATCCCGATGCACGGTGGATGAGGATATGAGAGAGTTGGCAGCCTCTTTCTATGAACGGCTGTTTACTTTTGATGGGTTGGTTGGTGCTAACGTACTGTTACAAAATATTGTACCTTTGGTTACGGCGGATATGAATCAAAGGCTGACGGCAGTCTTTTCCGATGATGAGATTGAGCGAGCCTTATTCCAAATGGGGCCGACGAAGGCACCTGGCCCAGATGGACTCCCGGCTCTTTTCTACCAAAGACAATGGTCATTGGTTAAAGATGATGTGTGCAAGGCGGTGAAGGAGTTTCTCAACGGTGCATCCACGCCGGAGGGCTTTAATGACACAGTTATAGTTATGATTCCGAAAATCAACTCACGGGAGTGGCTTTTAGTTCAGACCGATTAGCTTATGTAACGTGCTCTATAAAATAGCCACAAAGGTGTTGGCAAACAGGCTAAAAGGTTTACTCCCTCTGTTGATATCAGAAGAACAAAGTGCCTTTGTCCCGGGAAGGTTGATTACGGATAATGTTTTTGTGGCATACGAGTGCGTGCACGCCATTCTAAACAGGAAGAGGAAGAAGCCATTGTGTGCGGTTAAACTCGACATGATGAAGGCATATGATAGGGTCGAATGGATTTTTCTCGAGCAGGTTCTGAACCGAGTGGGTTTTGATGCTCAATGGATTGCTATGATTATGTGATGTGTGACATCGGCGAGGTTCTCAGTGAGGCTTAATGGTGGCTTATCCAGGGGTTTTGTGCCCTCTCGTGGTTTGAGACAAGGTGACCCGTTATCCCCCTATTTGTTCTTGTTTTGTGTGGGGGGGTTCTCGGCGCTACTAAAGAGAGCACAAGAGGAGAAGAGAATCAAAGGAGTGTCATTTGGGAGCACTAGCCCCAATGTTACACACTTACTGTTTGCCAATGATAGCATTGTCTTCCTTGAGGGATCTTTGGATAATTTGATGGAGTTGAAGGAAATTCTGAGGCAGTATGAGGAGGCTTCGGGCCAGCACATTAACTTACAGAAATTTGCTACCTTTTTTGGGAAGGGCACTCACGATGACATGAAAGGCCAACTGCAGAACACACTCGGTATACACAATGAAGCCCTTGGC